GACTTACCGTAACTAGCGGCGAGGGCAGACGCTGCCTTCCTCCCTCCCCCCCCCCTCCCATCCAAAGATATCGGGAATCGTTCGTCCACTTTTGATTGTATAAACGCCATTCTATTTATCTAAGCATGCTCTTTATCTCTAGGCCCTTAAACGACGAAAATGTTGTATATAAAGATCAGGAGGGCTGAAGTATCTGAAATTTTGGATATTTTTGAAATTGCACTGCAGCCATGCGTAGTAACCAATTTTCATATGGCCAATGTGGTTTAGTCTTGAATGTGCAGACCTTTCATCCAACCAGGATTAAATAATTATATGGTAGTTTTGTGGAGATCAGTATCAAGGTCGGTCGGTCGGTCGGTGTGTAATATCAAGGTCGGTGTAGCATCTTACAAACTAATTTCACAGTTTTTTTCTTCAAGCTATAGAGGACCCCAGATAACAATATGGTGAAGCAATTCTCATCACCTATTTTGCAAGCCGCCATTTGGCGGGAGAGTGCTTTGGATACTATTTTCATTTCAACATGTTGTATGCACCATTGGCGCACCAACGCCGTATTTGTTGGATTGCTTAAATGCAGCGCTCCAAGCAATAGCAGACTCATGTCAACGCTTTAAGGATGCGTATTGGTCACTGCATAGCCCAAACGATGCGTGCCGTTTTATAATGCAACGAATTCGCATTTACAAAATTATTGGTTGCATTCAGAATGGCGGCTATATGACATACAATGCGTACCGTTTCATAATGCAACGAGCTGGCAATTACGAAATTACTGGCTGCATTCATAAAGACGGATCTATAATATTGAAGATGGGCTACATTAACCCCTGATAAAGCTAATAGCCGTATTTGTGGCGCATGCGCATGACGTAAGGGCGTGTCAACGGCTCTATCGACATATTTGCCTTCCGCGGTAACACCGATCACTACCGAAAAGCAAAGCGTCCCGCAGTGCCGAAAAGTACCGCACACTTGTGCTTGCATTGGGCAGAATGCAGTGCAAATGATGAGTGATTTGTTATCTTAAGTTTATCCTAGAAGCATTGAAATAAGACACACGACCTCCCGCTCGTTTCCATACGCGTACAGCAGATGGATTCCAAATAGTGACTCAAAACCGCCTCTTCGCGACCGGCTTTTCAGATAAGAGTTTAACCCGTGTGTATGAATTCTACGGAAAGCACAAATTTCCGTTGCGCCGCGTTGAACTGCTTAGGAGCAGTGAGCAAAACTCACTTTGCGGGATCACGATCAGGGTAGGATCTGCCGCCTTTTTCTCCCCGAGGGAATTGGGTTGAAACCCCGCTTCACTAATCGTGTGGCTTTTTGTCCTTTCAGATTGACGTGTTAGAATATGTGCATAGTCAGGAGTACATTCATGGTGACGTCAAGGCGCAGAACCTCCTGCTCGGAATGGATGAAGGGGACCAACACCAGGTAATTTTTCTAGTCTTCTTCTTTTCCTCAATTTCAGTTATTTGTTTTCCAAACAAACACTCTTGTCTGTTTACCTAAACGCGCTGCAGCGCTTGCACACACTACAGGAAAGCAATACACCAAGCGCCCTGGCCGTATGACGTAGGTCGCAGAATATTGCCCCTGTGCTCGGCTGTGTTTAGTCTGCATAATATGCCGATAAGCACAATGGACTGGCTGTTAACGTAAGCATGCAGCATCAGGCGCCTGTCAACTAGGTTCGTGCAACGCAGCCTATGAGCGTGGCTCGGTGTGGCGGCGTGCGCGTCGCTGGAGGTGACCGGACGGACGGCTCGCCAGGTGTATCTGGTCGACTTCGGGATGGCCAGCCGCTACGCCAACGACGGCCGCCACAAGCCGAACGTGCGGACGCGCGCAAGGCGCACAACGGCACGATCGAGTTCACCAGTCGTGACGCGCACATCGGCGCCCACTCCCGACGCGGTGATCTCGAGATCCTCGGGTACAACCTGCTGCAGTGGGCGTGCGGCCGGCTGCCCTGGCAGGACCACCTGCGGCACGCCAACGCCGTAGCCCGAAGCAAGTGCGAGGCGATGGCCGACGTGAGCACCCTGATGCGCACCTGCTTCCCGCTCGGACTCGTCCCGGGCGCAGGTGAGAGCCGTGATGCGCACCTGCTTCCCGCTCGGACTCGTCCCGGGCGCAGGTGAGAGCCCTGATGCGCACCTGCTTCCCGCTCGGACTCGTCCCGGGCGCAGGTGAGAGCCCTGGTGTGCACCTGCTTCCCGCTCGGATCCATCCTGGGTGCAGGTGAGAGCCCTTATGCGCATGCGGCAACCACTCGGACCCGTCCCGGGTCCAGGTGAGAGCCCTGGTGCGCAGGTGGTAACCGCTCGGACTCGCCACGGGTGCAGATGAGAGCCCTGATGCCCAGGCCGTAGCCGACATTGCTGCGCTGGAACGAACTCCCGTCCTGCTCGGACGCGTCTGGGTTGAGGTGGAGCCAATCTTGGCCAGGGCCGCTACACACATGCTCTAGTGACGTCTGCGGTTGTGCTTGTTGTCTACCGAATGACTGAACGCACTTCTTCGGCTGCGGTTTCAGCGACAGCTGTAAACGTCAAACACCGCCATCAGTATAGACGGTTTGGCTCTCTTTTAATGTTTAGTAGGGCGCCACGATAGAGCGTCATGGAGCGGAGAGCCGCCCCGCGATGTCAAGCGTGCGCGCTTGGCCGAGCTGGTACGTGCTAAGGTGGCGAATTGTGTGTCCGGGGCAGACAAAGAGTTCTTTCTCCGAAACAGCACTCCATCGTCAACAAGGCCGGTGGGAGCCCCCACCGGTCCCTTGACCCCTGGTAAAGGCGCACCGATGGCCCTCCCCCACCGCCAACTCGGACTGGGTGTGCTGTTGTAAAGCGTGCCCCAGCCAGTCCACCGTCTCCATGCCACGGAGGAGACCCCAGAACTCGTGCCAGGTGGGGCACGGTCCTACGGAGTTCAGCCGTGGCTTGCGGTCTGAGACGTCTGGTCTTGCAACTGGCGCAGCAGAGTTCTATTAACACGCGCCCGGGTCGAGAGGGTCAAAGTGACCCCCCGAAGGTTTTTCCAGAATGGTTTCCGAACGCCGCGGTGCAGCCGCGCCAAATTTTGGGCAGTTTTAGAAAATTGAATAGCGGATCGTTCTGTATTAAACTTATTTTTGTCACATTGAAATGTACCTTGTGAGGCCACTGACGTACGGCAGGCCAAAGTCAGACCATGGATTCTGCGAAGTCAGTTTCCAGGGAATCGCTCAATCTGATGCAACAACGGAATGTTGGACGAGACCATTCATCTCTGAGATACTTTTTAGGCTACGCCGCAATTGAATGAATGAATTCCATTGACCTTAGGTCAGTTTTAAAGGTCAGATCAAGGTTAAAGCCAACCTGCTTTGCTACTCTAGGGCTTGTTGCACAGGGTAGTTTCTGGTGCTCAATTCGAATTTATTGATGACAAGAATCGCATTATACATCTTTCATGCACTTCTCAAAGGTCAGAATAGGTCACTGACATAAAACGACTCGGGCCAACATTTTGTTTTTAGGAGCGTGCTGCCGAGTGTAATCTGTACCGCCTATTGAAAGAAAGCTCAAAGCAGTTTTGTATGCTTTTGATCAACATGACCTTTGAAAGGTTAGACAAGGTCACTGACCTTAAATGATCATGTAACGTTTTTCCCAGAACAGGTATCTAGGTTCTGGGGTGCACTTTGCAGACCAACCTGGAGATTGACTTTGTTTGACCTTATTTGCCCCGAAGTTCACGACCTAGGAACTTTAAACATTGACCTAAGTAAGTTCAGGTACAGGTTAACACACTCGATAAATTTGGTGTCTCTAGCTTTCTTAGTTCCTGAAATCTCAGCTGGGGGGGGGGGGGGGCAAATCAACCCCCCTACTCCCACTCGAGCGAAGGGTATCCAACCGGCCACCGGGCGCGTGTTGAGCCGGACCTGGTTTAGGTTTTCACGCCCTATCTTACCTTTTTAGTACACCCTTTTACAGGCGTTTTACTGTGGAATTGAAGGGGAATAAGGGCGAATGTCCTAGATCTCCGGGCTGTTGTCAGCAGTGCTTTTCTTGCAGTCGTAGCGCTACAAGAGACAAGGCTAGCGCCTGAGTATTTCTGCTCTTTAAAAGGATATGCGGTTTTTGCAATGACGCGTTGACGTAGAATATTGCACATGGCGGTGCACTGCTTGCAGTTCACCATAGCGTGCCAGCGAGGAGGGTTAACTTGCGGCTCTCGCATCACGCTGCGACCACGCGGCGCCATCTTAGTCACCATCACATCACTGTTTGTTCGCTTTACCTTCCACCAGGTATCGCCTCGCCATCGGTGCGCATCCAAAATTTGCTGTCTGAACTCACTCTACCATTTCTTCGTCTAGGTGATGGTTTTAATGCTCTGATTCTAAAGGTTCTAATGCTCATCACACTGCACGGGGGTGTGACGTCACGAAATCCGCGGGGGAATGTGGAAGAACTTCATCCGTGGTACTTCACTTTTAATCTAGACGCAGTGAATCTCCAATTCCCAGCTCGTTCAGCACCTCGAGTGGAGTGTCGGAGGTGACCCATTGGGAAGTGACCACTTCTTTGCGTGGATCCGGTTTAACAGAAGGGAATATTGAGTGCTAGGCCGCAACACTGGAGGCGGACTGGTGCGAGCGTGTGACTCGGCTTGAAACATCGTTTTTACCTGACCGAGAGGGTGTCACCTTTAGTGAGCATTGTACTCGTAGACTAAGAATGTGCCAGCAACTGTATCCCATGCGCCCCATGTATCCTGGCGCCCCATGACACCCCAGTTCTGTGCTGGACGGAGGAGTGTCGGAGCGCCGTGCGGGCGCGGTAACGTGCGTTTCGAGCTTTTGGCGCTATGAGTAACGTGGCCAACCTAAAAGCCTTTAAGGAGGCGACAGCTTTTGCTCATGGCACGGTAAGGGAAGCACAGCGTGCTTCCTGGGGCGCTTACGTGAGCACGCTAAAACCGTTTACACGTTAAACCACACTTAACCGTTTTATGCTAAACCAACATCGCAGATTTGGGATAGGATCAAGCGTGTTCTGAGGAAGTTTTTACCTATGCCTCTTCCGGTGCTATGCTTGAACGTTCAGGCTGTGACGCGCCCGTTGGATGTTGCGAACGAGATTGCCCACTGCAGTGTAGGTGGTGACACAAATCCACGATGTGTGCGGCGTAGAACGCGATGTGAGCAATTTGCAGTAGACTTTTCCGAGTGAATGACGTTCATATAATGACTCATTCACCCTGGTCGAGTTGGAATCGGCAACGGCCAGATTTCGCAGCATGTGAGAAGGTCCTGTTACTGTGCACAGCGATATGCTCAAACATCTGCCGTCTCGCGTGCTTCGCGTTCGACCAGTGGTTTTTAATTCGCTTTGGGCCAGAGGTGAATTTATAGTTTCTTGGCGAGCAGCTTCAAGTGCATTGCTCACGCGTCATAGGTGCGGACAGGAAAACGCTCTTGCTCTTCTATCGCTCTCATCAGATCGAAGCTCGACTATGCTTCCTTTGTTTATGACGGCGCTTGTGAGTCAGCAAGGCGCTCATTGGATACCATACATCATACTGCCTTACGTATCGCAACAGGCGCATTCAGGACCTCTCCGACAGCGAGCCTCCTTGTTGAGGCCCACGAGCCCCCTTTGTCCACTAGGACAAAAATATTAGGCATGAGATACGCCTGTAAGTTGGCACAGTTTCCCGATCACCCAATATACAAGTGGGTCTTCTCCCGCCGCACAATACGCATGTTTCTGACTGGGACAGTACATCGGATCGCACCTTTCTGTGTGAGGATGTTCGTACTTTTACAAGAATGTGATATTCGCACACGGCATGTGATCCGTTGGGAAATTCCTGAGACCCCTCCTTGGAGGCTCTATCCACCAGCGGTGGATGTCTCACTTTCCCATTTCGCGAAGGGGCGGGTGTCTCCGGATGAGTTTCGGCTGAGATCTTTGGAGCTGATCGTGTCGTACCCGGATCACAAGAAGACCTTCATGGACGGTTCGAAAGCGGATGCCGGTGTTGGATGTGCTTTTGTCCAAGGTCCTGTTACACGGTCTTTTGCTTTGCATGGTCACGCATCGGTCTTCACATCCGAGCTAATAGCCATTCTTAAAGCACTCCATTTCATTGAAGTTGACAGTGACGACCAACATTTAGTTTTATCGGACTCTCTTAGTAGCCTGATGACACTGCAAGATTTAGATTCATCACATTTCATCGTTCAGAACATTTTAACTCTTCTTACCACACTGTCGCGATCCGGGAAGCAGGTGGTATTCTGCTGGATACCGAGCCACGTTGGCATATCGGATAATGAAGTAGCTGATGCCGCAGCAAGGCGTGCCACACACGCATCTGAAATCCTTACTATGACAGTCCCCGCTAACGACCTGTATGCAGTAGTATCTGCCTTTATGTTGAAGCAGTGGCAAACGAATTGGGATGTGCATGGTGCCAATAAACTGAGAGAGATAAAGCCCCGGTTGGGACCATGGGCGTCCAGCTCTCGTAGGATGAGGCGGGAGGAAGTGACGCTTTGCCGGCTGAGAATAGGCCACGCATACGCAACTCACCGATACCTGTTATGTGGGGAAGACCAACCGCGGTGTCCTCGCTGCGGGGATCGTTACACCGTACGACATGTCTTGATAGATTGTGCCCACCTCGCCTTGGAACGTATGCGCCATTTTGGATCTGGATTCTTGCGTCCAACGCTCTGTGGTATGTTGGGAGACGATTCCAGCTCAGTGCATGACGGTCGCATTTTTAGTTATCTTGAAGACGTACACTTTCATGTCATATATCGAACCAAAACTCATCTCCCCGCTTTTTCAGGCAACTGTTAGATAAAAAGTAGGTTATGGGCGCCATATGACCAACGTAGTCGGTGCGCCCCAAGGCCCAAATCATCATCATCATCAGCTTATGTCGTCCCCTTTGAAAACCGGTTAAGAGTGGGTGGGATCCTTTACATATAGATCCGTTTCTCTCACATCATCGTTTTCTAAGCTGATAGGGAAGATAGAAAGATGGCTTTTTGACAAAGAGGGCGTCTTTGTCGTCACATGATGTCATGCCATTCTTTTAAAGCTATATAGGTATAGTATAGGGGGCTGTCTGGGCACTTCTCTTCAAAAGTTTTAAGTCGACTGTTGTTTCCGCGCCCGTGTTGGGATGTGCTTTCTGAGACGTACCATCAAGTTAACGGTGTGCCCCAAGGTGGTGTCCTGAGCGTACCAATGTTCGCCGTTATGATTAACAACATCGGGGCTGGGTTGCCGTAGTCTGCGGATGGCAGCTTTTTTGTTAATGATTTTACCATTTGGACAAGCGCAGCAAGAGCGCTGGATCCATCGATGGATCGGTGGATCCATCGATGCTGGAGATCCCATCTGGATGCCAGCTGGAGATGCCAAGAGTGCTGGAGATGCCATCGATGGATCGGCATCTCCAGTTGGCTGTGGACCGTGTTGAGAGCTGGGATACCATAAGCTGGTTCACGCTTTCAAATTACAAGACTGTAGTTGCATTGTTATCGTAGTTGGCGATGCGGTGGCCGGTATTCTTCTGTATAGCCAACGCATGCCAATTAAGTCTGTGGCTAGGAACCATCCTGCCAGCTAACGTATAACGTTCATCTTAAGACGCTACGGAAACGCTGTTTGAATTCTTTGAACATACTGAAATGTGTTGCGCGCGTATGTAATGGAGGAGATCAAAGCACGGTTTTGCTATTGTACCGCACAATTATACGCTCTAAGCTGGACTACGCCCGTTTTATTGATCGCAGCGCGTGTGAATCTGCCAAACGCATCCTTGACACCGTCCACCACACCACTCCGCGTGCTATCACAGGGGCGTTCCGCATATCACTCATCGTAAACCTCATGGCAGAATCACACGAGTCGCCCCTGTCAGCGGCGAGGAAAATGGTCTGTATGGGTTATGCGCTTGAGGTGCGACATTTCCTATCGCATCCGGCATGGACGCAGTTTTTTCGCGTCCTGTTGAGCATCCCAGTCACGTTGGGATCGCGGGTAACGAGTTAGCTGACGCGGCCGCCGGGCGAGCAGCGCTGGCTCCATGTGTGTGTTCTCCACCCCTGCTAGACTTCAACCCTGCAATAAAATCCTTTGGTGCACAACAAGTTGCAGCGTTGTTAGGACGGTACAGATGTTGATAAGCTCCGAGCAATAAAACCCCAGCTGGGTCAGTACTTACCTTGTCGCAAAGTGAAGCGGGAAGGGGTGGTCCTCTGCTGACCGCGTATGCCACACGTATGCGACCCACGGCTATCTGTTGGAGTGAGCCGATAAGCCTGTCTGTCATCGATGTGGTATTGATCTCACCGTTCGCCATGTGATTATATCGCGTCCGCATCTCGTGGAGGAACGCCGACGTCACTTTGGAGAGCATGACTCATCCTGACGCTCTGTTACAAACTAGGAGACAACTCGCGCTTCGCGAAATCCTAACAGGTGTCTGTTTCGTTAACACCATCAACTGCGGGGCTATTTACACAGTTTATTAGTTGGGTAAAGCCCTCGCTATGGACGTGAAATGACTGCTGCGGTCGGCGCAACCGAGGACACCAATAACGAACAAGATGTTTAATGGAGTGTGAGGTCATGCCGGGTGTATTCTCTCCCCGGCGATACTGAAGAAGACATATTGTAAGGGATTCCAATTATCCCCGGATTGGACACCCTTAGCGTCAGAGGCGATACGTACTTTGTTGGCTGTAGGAGTCTATACTTAATGTTTGTTTCTTTTTTAAATGATGATATGTGCTTCGTTTCATGCCTGCCTCTATGCTATGGTTCTTTGCTTCATTTGTCTCTTCTTCGTAGGGCAAATGGATTCCCTTGCACTCTCCTGAGACTCCTTGACTTTGGGGAACAGGAGTCATGTGGAAACAAGTCAGGAAAGTACATACAGTGACCATGTGCTTTCCTTTGCTTTGGTGCTTTGTTGTTGTAGTCGCGTCAAAAACGCTGACCACGAATGACAAAGTCGTGAACAATACAAAACAATCAAACTTGAACGAACACAATTATGTTAAAAACACTTATGGACTGCACCGCTCTGGGCCCAATTTCGGCAAAACTCTGGCAAAAAGTCCGTCGTTTTGCGCAAGCTGTATGGGGCGCTTCGTGATCTCTGTAGCCAATGTAAAACACACATTTAAGTTACATGCAACGACGACAGTCGTCCGTGAATCGTCGGTTTCCAAGAAAAGTTGGTAACTACAGCTTGCGCTCGGTAGGCCCAGTGTTTAGGAAATCCGGCGTTGTATTATACACCATACGATAGATAGACGGACGGTCGCTCAAACAATGCTTTTTATACGCTGAGTTTGGCCGTATAATACCGCACGGGGCCGCCAGAATAATTTTGCAGTACCGATTACCAAGATCCTAAAAAAATTTCCTGACCAGTGGGGTTTCATTTTTACTATTTATTACTTTCTGAGGCCGTTGTGATGTGGATCCATGGGAATTAAATGCTTCATTGGTTCGGGGCACCTCTTTTTATGAAATATGTAGAAAAAACAAATTGCTTAGATGCCTGGCAGGTCTAAATCTTTGACGATTTGTCTTGGCGTGGGTTTGCTGAGTGTGCTGGAGCCAATTGTTCTAAGTGAATAGGTGTGCAAAAAATGGCGTGGAAAGCTAAAAGGCAATGTCATGCCATTGGCCGCATCCATCTGGCGTCCGATCGTATTGCCGCATGTCTATGGTGTGCGATGGTATGCTGTGCTGGGTGCTGTACCGCATCTGGCGGTATGCTTTGCTGGGTGCTGTACTGCATCTGGCGGTATGCTTTGCTGGGTGCTGTACTGCATCTGGCGGTATGCCGTGTAAGTATTGATCTCCGGCATCTGCCGCTTCCAACAGAGGCGATCCAGCGATACCTGGAGCTGGTTGCAGCGATGCCGTTTGATGCCACGCCCGACTACGACGGCCTACGGGCCGCGCTGCGGAGCGGACTGCACGCTCTCGGCTCCCCGCCAGCCCGGCTTCGCTTCTCTCCGGGGGAGGTGAGCGGCGGGGGCCGGCGCTCTGGCGCATCGCGGCGCGCGCCGGCGCGTGGCTGGACGGGTACTGCTGTGGAGCACTCGGCGGGGGCGGCGCTCTGGCGCATCGCGGCGCGCGCCGGCGCGTGGCTGGACGGGTACTGCTGTGGAGCACGGGGCGGGGAGGCCGAGGTCGCAGGCTACTGGTGGCGGGTGCCCCCCGATCGCACGTCCGGATATGGACCCTGTCCAAATTGGGTCTTCTGTTTTCCCTACAAGAAAACTGGCACTGACGCCGTCTACTCCAGCATAGTAATTGAAATTTCAGGACTAAGTATTTGTAGTGTATGAATAAAGAAAAACAGTTTTTAGATGTCATATGAATATGGCATCCCGTAATGGTATTGTGTGGTGCATTGAACATACCATACGTTTTTGTCCTGATGACGACGTCTCGTGGTCTGTACTGTAGCGTTGAGCAATAGCTTTATGCACTCACTTTTTAAGCATTAAAAGCGGCCCACGTTCCGATGGTGGTATTTGCCCAGGTAGGCTATTTCATGTACAGTAGCGTTAACGCTCTGCTCTGGCAGCTTCGGTTTGTTTTCAGCAGAGCTAGGTGACTGGAAAAGGAATCCCTAGATGCTCTACTTCACCTCTTGTCATGGTGGAAGACAGTCTTGAGTCATGGTGGGAGGTGGTTTTGAGCTACAGTGGGAGGCAGTCTTGAGTCATGGTGGGAGGCGGTCTGGAGTCATGTTGCGAGGCGGTCTTGAATTATAATAAGAGGAAGTCTTGAGTCGTGGTGAGAGACAGTATTGAGTCATGTTGGGAGGCAGTCTTGACTGATGTTGGGAGGCGGTATTGAGTCATGATGGGAGGCAGGCATAGCCCGAGGGACAAGAGAAGTATCGCTACGACCAACTTCACCCTCGCCCAATTTCGTTGACATGAGTCGTGCACAAGCCATTTGATAGAACGACGAACGTTTGTCTGATACGATGCATTGAATATTGTGGATGTTTTTCAAACAACCAGTGTAGGTTTCGACAGAATCCATGTACTTTTGACAATATATCGATTTTAGTTACTAACATATGACAATCCTTTCAACGAGGATGCGATGAGACTTCCATTCTTTGACGTCGAGCTAACTTACGGCACCCGCTTACGCTTTGGTATCCTGGAAGCGTCTATGTTGCGGACCACAATTGCTGACGTGCCCATGCTCAACCACAGCACCGGTGGTCATGAACTATACGCCAATCGATCCAACATAGTGAGTTATGTGTGTGCGTTTTCAACGTGAGATTACTAGAATGGTTTAGCTACTAGATATGCCAATTAAGTATTTTATGTGGCCAGATCACAGTCGGAACCCATAACAATGTCATGCTCCAAACCTATAGGAGATACACTCACAAGAACTAAAAACAACCAAAAGCAAAAAAAAAAAACCAGCTCGGCGTGCCGCGCTGGTTTTCTCCTTTTTCAGCGTCATGACCTTGGAAAAAACATTGTGAGTCCAAAGTTCCGATGCTGAGTTAATGACCTTCAATGCACCAGGAGGTACTAGTCAAGCGGCGTTATAGTACTAAACAACGATTCTGTTGACGGTGCTCAGTATTTCGAATTGCCCTCAATTTGAAGAGGCAAGGCCCTGTATATCAGGTACGGTTCTCCGGCGATTTGACGGCCACGTCACGTGGTCCCTGGGCGACACCGTTTGTCCGTGACATTGACTTGGGAACTGCCACGAGATGCGGACGAGCCGTCTGATAGGGCAGGTGTTCACGTCAGTGGGACAAGGGCCCTGCGGCCTCTGCGGGGAGGACAGGGACCTGGGCCTAAGAATGATAGAGCCCAGAAAGGTTGAGCGAAATATTACGCTTTTAATGAGACACGTTAATCCAGAAAATGTCCCAAGGCTGTTTAGACAGTACCTTTAAAATACGTCAGAAATGATAACTTATTCAAGCCCCAACACTTAATAAACGGTTCTACGTTAAAGGCTGCATAAATACACGACTAAGCCGGAAGCGTACAATAACCCACATCGAGTATCGAATTAGAAAATTGCTCACCGTGATCATCAGGCACCACGGGTGTCACCTGAACCCCAGCAGCGTGCATAACCCCTCCCCCAAATTGCTGAAGTCGGGTCTCATGATGAAGTTTGTGCGTTAAGCGTAGGTCGGAGTTGCCTTATAGCCTGCCGGTGCTGAGGTCTTGAGGTGAGCGTATTGTCTTTAAGTGTTGCCAAAATTGTTATGACAAAGTTCAAATCAAGTTATAAAACCAGCATCTATTGCGATATGCTCCATTGTTGCATGTCGATCTACCATATGTTTTTTTAAAATAATGATTATGTTCTGCTTAAATGTGCGTCTCCAAGATGTTCATTAAACGGGCCACAAATGCTGCGCTCTGTTTCTCTTACATATCTGATTCTTTTCAAGTGTAGCATTTCACTTAACCCTTCTGAACCCTTCTCAATCTTGAGAATGAGCGCAGCCGAAAATATTAGATGCAGGTAACGTGGTCATTGCTCGGCACTGTAAAGTCGTTAAACCAGTTATATGACACTTATTAGCCCAGGGTAAGAACTTTGAACTCATGTCGCCGAAGAACCAGGCGTTAAAGGACAATTTAATCATCCGCAACCTTACAAAAGGTGCAAGGTGTGTGCGTAAAGTTCCTGAAACGCGATGGAAAAGCACATGCTGCGATCGGTCGTTGCTCCCAAGCTGTGAACCCGATTTAAACGACAGTTATCATTCGATTCAGAGTGGTCGATTTACTGATCCTTATACAATCGTGTGACCTTGTTCGTAGGTGACGGGTCATTATAGGACTCATAGGATGTTTTTAGACTTGCTAGTCTCATGGTCTGAAACTACCCTGTCGGTGGTTACGAAACTCGCCATTCGCTTCAGCAGGGTCCAGCTACTCATTTTTTCCGGATTGGTGATCCCAATGTAGGTCACGGGTCACCAAATGACATAAGCATTATTGTCAATCCTGCTGACGGTCCTATGCTCCGAAACTACTCAATCGGTGGATTTTCATGAAACCTTCGCTCATTCAGCGCGAACGAGTTCTTAGCTCGGCTTGGATTTGGCGAGTTTGACATAGGTCTAGGGCCAGAAAATGACCTTACGTCGTCAGGCGTGCTGACTGTCGCATGCTCCACAATTGTCCGGTTGATTTTCAAGAAACCTTCACCTGTTTCTGCAAGGCTTGTAGCCGAAATTTCAAGAACGCTCTTCCTGTTATTTAACGGGCAATAAGACCATTAGCACCGCCCTTACGTATGCGCAATGTTCATCGCAGCTGCACTGAACACCTTACGATTTTCGTGAAGCCTTTACCCTTTGAGTAGCCATGTTCGATTTAGTTGCCCTTAACCAATCTGGTGAACTTCACATACGTTACGGATCGATAAATGCGCAAACCTGTTCGTCATTTTTAAGAAAATTGTCCCTAAACACTCATTGCATTGGCATTGCCTGGTGACCTAGTTTGAGTTTCGAGTGAACAGATATGCTGTAAACCATCTATCGATTCGGGACGCAGCCATACGACAAGCCCTTAGGTACGCCTAACGTCGTGACATTGTTAACAAGGTACAAAAGGGATGATTTCGCGAACACGGGGCGTTTTTCATTGAAAACTACAACGACAATTTTTCCGTGTTCGAGTGGCTGGCGGGGGGAAGGGAGGTACGAAGTACGCCCATGACCGCCACAGCTTGGTTGTTAATCGGGCCGGCGGGAGCCATGCCGGCAGTGGGCCGTGTCGTGTGGCCTGTGACCGGGCCAACTGGTGATGGTCTGTTGCAGGAGTCGGGCGCGCCTGCGCGGGGGAGAGCCCGGTCGGCCAACCGCCGTAACCGCTCCCCCCTCCAGCCGGTGCAGGATTCGTCTCCGCTGCCTCACAGTCGCCGGCGAGCAGCTCCCAAGCAGCGGGCTCGCGGCCGGCCCGTCGACGTCACCTCCGGTCAGAGCAGTGAGGATGAACAACAGCCGGCCGCTTCCGTCGATAACTACGCGACGGACGTTCGGGCGCGGGCGGCGGCCGGCAAGGGAGGCCGAAGGCTGCCGTCCGCTGTTACCAAGCGCAGACAAGCAGTGAGTCACAGGTCCTGCCGGAACCGGCCGTCCGTCGACAGTGAGGACAGCGAGGGTGAGAGCGTCGGGACGAGGGCCCGCGCCACCCGCTCGGTGAGCAACAGAGCGGCGGAGACCTAATGGGACCTTTGACACCGTGACCGGGCTGTGGGGTCAGCAGGCCAGTCGCCGCTGGTGACTGGCCTGCCGGCCGGGGCACGTCATGACAGTGCCGCGTCCTCCTTCTTTTGGGCTAGTTGGTGTCGCCCATCCGCTGCGCCTCACCCCCATTGCTGCCGACAACTGCCCGGCGGTCCGTGTGCCCAACTCACACGCTGGCATTCATACTGTGCGAATCACAGCGCAGCCGTCACGCTGCACCGTTTGTCCGACGTGCGCGGCTGCCGTACATGTTCACCGCTGTATGTCATGTGCGCCGGCTGTGCTGGCTTCTGGCGGGGCTCTGTGATCGGCGACCGTCTGACACGTGTGACCCTCGACCCAGAGTGCCGCGGTCAAGTCGCGCAGCGCTAACGGTGTCGGCTACGACAACTTGACACCGTCCATGCGGGCCGTGCTGGACCAGCGGGCGCAGAAGAAACACACCAAGTGGGTACACGTCCGCAGCAGACGTCCACAGGGGAACGGGGATCGGAGTGTGACAAAACACTTAGGCTGTGGTATCAAATGGGTCGCCGCTTGTTCACTTGACCGTGGGTTTCACTGGTGTGCTAGTCTTATGGCGTCCCGTTTGCACGTTGGTGAACTCATTGAAGATAGGTTATCACTCTTGGCGTGATGGTGTTTCGCCGTGCGAACTGACTGTCGCCCCGGGACGCCACGCAGCGGGCCACGGTTTTTTACCCGTTGTCGAGCCGTGCTGACTTTGCACCGGGGGAGCACCGACCCCGGAGATATGGATTCTTTGGTTTCCCACAGGTTGCCGCGCGGCCGCGGCCGGGGTGTCCGGGCGGCCGTCGGCGCCGCTACATCACGGCCGGAGGACAGCGACGAGCCTGACACTGCGACAGCGGCGATGGCGCAGGGTCGCGCCGCGCGAGCCGCCGCCCGCCAGGCCCGCTTGTCCTCGTCCGGGACCGGCGTGGCGACGGCGGCCCACTCGCCGCCGCCAGCAGACTGCGACGAGCAAATGTTCTACACGCCCCCGAGCGCACCGGCGCGCCGTCGCAGTGGCCGGCTCCGCGTCAGCCGGTCTCCAGAACTGTGGTGACGCCTCAGAGCTCCGCCGGCGAAGAGTTGGGCCGAGGTGCAGCACCGTGCCGCGCCGGAGGGATTGGACTAGGAAGGGTAATAGGTTTCGTCGCTCATGCTTATGATCCGCTCCCTCTGGAGTATTCCGCTCCAACAGCTTTTACGCGAATCGCCTCAGTTGGCAGTGTGACCGCATTCATGTATATCGAAGCAACATTCCACAGCAAGCGTCAGGAGCAACATTCATACCCTACGTCTCCCGACGAAGGAAGCGAAGGCATCCAATGGGAATGGCCTATCAGGCGCGAGCCTCACTGTGCAGCCATCTTGTCGCCCTACGGAGTGGCGTGGCTTCTGCTTCACGGAGGAAAAGATACTTCAGTCGCGGAATTCTTCACGTGGAACTGAACTTTTCAATATACTTTACTGCGCACCTTAACACGTGAACTTCACGGAATTGCACGGAAGGTTTTATTCTTTCGACAATTGTAGTAGAATACGTTATTTCCGGTAAGCAAACAGCGCAAATACCTCGGATGCTGTCCAGAAGTGTCACTTTCTGGAATCGGTTCGTGGGTGAGCCGGCAAGGTTGACCCAACCCACGATCAACGAAAACAGGTCTCGTTCATTGTTTATCGAAGGAAGTCAATCGTGTAGAGCAAACTGTTTCATGCACAGTGGCGCGGCTCGGCACGTACGGACGAAAGGCTATGGAAGCCTTCAGGTACATTGCCAGGATGAATGTATCTCTATATTCGCAGGACCGTCTCAACAGACATGTCGATGACTGAAAGGACAGACTGGGTAAAGGGTGCTGGCTTGACGGAACACAGGAGAGACCGTCTTGAAGAATTTTGTGACCGGTGCACTTCACGTCAATGCGCTGCACAAAATATGCGGATCCCAATCTCGGGACGCCTTGCGGTACAAACAGCTGAATGACATACAACTGGGCTGCACGTAAACCATGTCCCTCATTAAATTTGCATATAATTAGGCTTTACAACAATACACCCCATGGCAACTGAAGAACCAGTCGTTATGTTTTGAGTACCGAGTGCAACACGTATATGCTCCTATCTCTAGTCACATGAGTGAAGTCGTCCAAAGCATCTCTTGGGTACGGGTACGGGTATCTACACTAGCGAGTAAGTCTGCCGCTTCCCTAGTACGTCCTCGATTTAACGACACAGCGCGCAGGCGAAGAGGTATTCGAGGCAGCGGAACGCTGTGCGTATTATTTGTCGTAAGTGGGGTTTTCTCCCGCCCTACGTTGTAGTGACGTCACTGGTGCCGAGACTTCAGTGCGGCGCGGGCACTAGTAGCGGGCATAACGCTGCAGAGCTTCTGATCCGGATCTACTGAATCTTCGTGCTGACAGGGAAAAATCTGTTAGCGGCAAGTATACATGACCAGTGAGCCGATCATGTAGAACTGGATGTCAAACAGAGCAGGACTGATATGACATAAGACGGCCGGAACGTCGATATCTCGTCGCATCCATAACGAACAAAAATTGTTAGCGGCATGCGTGTATGACCAGCGAGCCAATCGCGTAGAATCCAGCGTAGAATCCAGCGTCGAATCCAAACGATGCGTTTGGCAAGACTCTGCGGCCGACCGTTGCGATGATATCCCCCCCCCCCCGCCCTCCCACGCACACACCGCCTTTACGTGTCGGGGGGGGGGGATTGTGTGCTTCAGTTATCCTACAGGCGGCTGGGGGGGAGGGGGGGGGCTTGTAAAGCGCCCATTCCGGCCAGAGGGGAGGAGCCAGACGAAACGTGGCTCCCGCAAGGGCTCTTCCTTTGGTCAGAGCAGAGATTAGCAATTCCTTGGCCCCAGCCTCCAGTCTTGCTTGGGGCTTGCTGTACCCCGTTGGATCTGCAGGTAGCGATGCAGGGATCCTGGACGTTGTGGGAGCTGTCCTGCGGGTCAGTCGCGGCAGTCTCCCAACGCCTGTTTTTGGCTCGAAGGCGTGATCCTGCGGGTGCCTCGTGGCGACTGGAAGACAGTATATCACGATGCACCATGGGAGGGTACATCGTGATGTACTACCTGGCGTTCGAGCGAGTGAGTAGCGACGAGGTGACTGAGGGACTCACCTCGCACGTTGACGTAAGGACGTAGCGCATAATTAACAGACGTGGTGGAAACGAAAGGTCGACAGACTCACTCGTCCTCACTTTTGACATGCCAAACATCCCTAAGAAGGTGAAGGTAAAGGTAGGAGATGTAGGTAAGAGGTGTACGTGCCATGTACAAAAGAACGCACCCAAAACACACGCTGTGGCAGGAAAAACGTCAGAAACAAACGGATCTTGTACGTGCAACATTGCCGACGTCCTGAGCAAGCTGACAGTAACCGATTGTATTGGCTTTGCGGAAAAACTTGGACCTACTTGTATTCAAAAGCAGTCTTCCGCGCCCTTATTCCGCGAGAAGGGGTTAAACCCCTCGGAGCAGGGTCTTACCTTTCCTGCTTCATGCACACTAGAGTTGACCCAGACGGTGGAAACAGCTTCTACAGCGTTGGGGGGGGGGGGGGGGGGGGAGGGGGAATAGACTGTTGTCCAACGTGACCGGCGACCGTGTCTAAACCGGCGCCCGAATGCTTTAAAAAACTCGCATGGATTTTCATTCAACCAACCCCAACGGAAATGGCACCGGCTCAGACTGACGAGGATGGACGACTGTCCCTCTGCTTCGGCGGAGGGGCGAAGCGGTCCTTTTAGCATCGGTGAAGTGCCGCTGCCACGGACTAATTGCCACTCAATCCCGTTGGAGCGGACTAGGGGTGGGAGAGTGGGAGGACCGGGGACTGCCGGGCAGGCTACTCAGTCTTGCCCCTGGATTCTCGTCCTTGCCAGCAGCAAACAAGATTTGTCTGATCTGTCGCCCTTTCAGCGACGTAGCGGACGTGATCTACTTGGCAATGTGACGCGCTGTGACAAACTTAGAAATGGAGCGCTCGAGGCGGAATTTTTGAATGGAGCGTAAACGGAAAAGACAGTGAAAGCGACATCATTCACATACACCTTAGTGATAAAGGTGGAAGGCGAGACGTAACTACCCATCACAGTTACAGCTCACAAAACAAAGCCATTCTCGCGGGATCATTAACTGTTTTGACTCGTCGGATGAGGGTCAGGAGACGAGAGCACCTGGTACCAACAAACAATATTATCTGTACTTTCAGCTGTGTGGATGTTCCCTCAGAACTAGATGGTCACGTGAAAGTGAAAGTTCACCTGTGCGTTCCAAGCCCTATGGGCCGTTTTCGACGTCTTCGCTCTGGCCACACAAAAGACTACTGCGGGAACAAACCGTCTTGTGGGAAATGTGCTGAGACTGGCCACACTAGCGAGAACTGCATCGCTGTGCCACCGAAATGTGTGAATTGTGACAAAAACCAGATCCCGCTTATAACATTTGACCGTGCTTGTCGGGCGTCCTCTCGAGAGAGAAAGATTATCTCCATCAAGTGCTCTCGGCGCATCTCTTTCCGAGAGGCACGGGAGATTTACAATAGCTCACACCCCAGTGTCTTACGCAAGCGCAGTGACTCGTTCCCACACAAACGTGGTTCATCATAAGATCAGCTCGGACTGTATGAACCTGGCGCAGTTTATCACACTTCCCCAGTCATTTGGGTTGACTTGCAGACCGGCAGCGGGTTCGGATGTTTCGTCTGCGTCCGCGGAGCCCGTCGCACCGCCGGTGGCTGCGGCGCCGGCGGCCTCCGTGCCGCCGGTCTCCCCGGTCGGAGAGACGCTGGAGGGCGAGGAGTGGACTCTGAGGTCGGGAGGGGCAAAGAGCAAAGAGCAAACCAGACACGTTCCGGGAAAGGGGAGCCGACCACGGCGTCTCCCTCAACAACTACGAGCAGGACTTCACCCGGCGAGGCAGTGATGGAGGCCTTGCGGCGCGGTGAGGTGGAGAAGAGGGCCCACGAGGCCAGGCGAGCGAGTGTGGTCGAGCAGGCGAGGGCGGCCAGGTGGTCCCCGGGGCTACCGATTCATCGGCCCCGGCGGGGGACGGCGAGAAGTCCACTCCCTTGGGGTCTGCCGGAGCGTCGGTGCCGGCGATGGCTAGCGGTGCGCCGTCCTCTGGGTTGGCTGGTGGGGTGCCGTCCTCTGGTTGGCTGGTGGGGTGCCGTCCTCTGGGTTGGCTGGTGGGGGGCCGTCCCTCTGGGTTGGCTGGTGGGGTGCCGTCCTCTGGGTTGGCTGGTGGGGGTGCCGTCCTCTGGGTTGGCTGGTGGGGTGCCGTCCTCTGGGTTGGCTGGTGGGGCCGTCCTCTGGGTTGGCTGGTGGGGTGCCGTCCTCTGGGTTGGCTGGTGGGGTGCCGTCCTCTGGGTTGGCTGGTGGGGTGCCGTCCTGGGTTGGCTGGTGGGGTGCCGTCCTCTGGGTTGGCTGGTGGGGTGCCGTCCTCGGGAGGGTGCGCCTCCACGCCCGGGTGGCGCGTTGGGCCGCCGCTTGTTCCGTCCCGAATGGGCCCCCCGCCGCCGCCTCCGCTTTCCGCTGCGCCTGCTCAGTCCCTGCCGCCCCCGGCGACCCCGCTCCGTCCCCGAGGCGGTTGGATCCTCCTACCGCCCCGGGCCGCCCCCCTCCCCCCCCCCCCCAATCGCGGATTGATGTGGAGAGGCTCGCCGGCGGACGAGGGAAATCCGCGAGCGCGGCTGAAATTTCAGTCAAGCTCGAATGAAGGTCGTTCGAGTTCTGCGGACGGGAGGCTGCACCGAAGTGGAGGTGTGCACCCTCGTGTGCACTTCAGGGAGTTGGGGGCTTCGTCTAGTGCGGCAGAACACTTCTAGTCAGCTTACTCCTTTTTACAATCAGAAACAATTTTCTGTCACCTTTTCACGCAGCCCACCTTTTTCCTACGTTCGTAGTTGTAAGCTTCGTTTTCGAACCAGGTTTTGCGCAGGCCATTCTACCCTGGAATTGCAGAGGCCTACGAACCAGTGCCCAGGATTTGCACGCTGTGCTTAGTCACCGTTGTCCGGTTGCTGCCTGCCT